CTGATGCTGCTTGGCCTGCTGTGTTCATCCAGCTCCTTGTTATCTCAGATTCTCCAGCATTGGCAGTTCCTACTATCTCTACATGAGTATCATAACTGGTTTGCCTTTACCAACAAAGGTGGCCACATCTATTCGATGTTGGTGATCAAAGCAACCAATATAGTTTGAAGGTGAAGCTGCTTGAAACACACATCCACAGAGTCGATGAGTCCAGCAATTCCCCCCTTCGCCTATTTGAACTAAGTAACTCAATGTAAATATAACTCACAATGAGTTTCAGTAACTTGTTTTAAAACTGTGCCACAACTTGAGCTCCTGAGCAGCAACTAAATGCTATGAAATTTACATGGTGCAGGATTTTGACTATTGATTGCATTTACAATAATCCAAATAAAATTTATTCAAAAACAGCCTGTCGGTTCGATTTTCAGTCAGAACAATTGTGTGGGTCAGGAGAGGTCGACATGACAACTCTTTGACACCCTGTATATGAATATTACAGCAGCAGAAGGTCTCCAGTCTCAAAAGACTGCATCTTGTCTCTTTCTCTTTGCAGAGAGGTAACAACCAGTTGGAAGATAGCAAGCTATTCTCACTTACCATTTGCCTGTAAGCTGCTGCTTCTGTACAATGGCTAAGAAACTGAACAATTAGTGTGTCCACTGCCCTTTTTCTCCAGTAAAGAACTGAAAGGACTTGGAAAGGAAAAGGTCAACAACTAGAAAGAATCAAGACAAAAATGGCACCTCATTGAATCCTTCAGATTGGTGCTATTGAACTGTGTCACCCTGATTTTTTTTTCCTCCACCAAGAACATGTACATTCTTTTTGTTCTCCATGTCTATCTACATGTGTGTGTTGGGGTTTAAGAAAGGGTAAAGTTTAAGTGAGTGAGTTATAAGCTGATAATTCACATTTTGTTTGCCTGTGATTAGAATTGATTAATTGGTAATAAATACCAGATATTGTTAGCTGCAGAAACCTGGTCAGTGTTTTCTGTTAACTTGTATTCATCAAACAGGGAAATGGTGGACTTTTATTAATTTGATTAAATCCTTAACTTTTGTAACAATATCAGGTGTAGGGGGCCTTGGGTATCAATGCACTATGTTGAGTAGGTTATGGCATTACAATTATTCCTAGTGTGCTGCATTAGAAACGTGTAAATTAATCAGGGTTCCTGCTCCAACATGCTATCGAATGATACTCGATGGAAATTCTTACATTAGGACACAGTCCATGGCAGTATCAGACCTATCAGCAATACCCCCTTGACTTCTTCATGTTACTTTCTGGTGCAGTTTAGAATGACTACATTAATATGGTAATGGCAGATGATCCTTGCCTATGAAACTGAACCCCCAACGTTACAAAAACACTGTCAGGAGGAGCGGGAACAACACAGAGGGATAGTGAATGAATATAATGATAGCAAGAGAATCAAAGTGGATCCCATTGCTTTAAAAACTACCCTTCAGTGTGAAATAAACACATTATACAGCTAGTCATTTCTACTGGGTATAAATGCAATATTAAATATGTTCCAGTCAGTGTGACTTCATGGTCAATCCAGCCAGCAATTTTGACAGCATTGTAAATAAACTGAAAGGTGGACTTTTGTAGCTTCGATATTAATTGTAATGTTGACTGAGCACAGTACTGACTTTTTCATCTTTCATGACAAACCCAAGCCCCTGTCATTCAAAATATATTTGGCTAAATCTCAAAGTTAATATATTTTGAGTCATTGTTATTTTAGTCCACCGTATGTCTATTAGTTCTGTGCAATCTGTGGTTATATCATTCGAAAGTACACAAATTAAAACACTCAGGTGACTACGTTTGAGCTCGGATAGGGAGGCTCAAAGAGGATCGGAATCAAAAATACAGTAGTAGAACGTTTACATTCCAGAGGCTGCACATTGAAGCTAACTGTACGTTCATGTCCAGTGCCTTGCCAGGCAGTGTAGTACCTTGAAGTCAGACCCTCAGAGTAATCTCATTACTTCTAGCAAGACAATAACCATTGCAGTTATCGTAGAAGCAGAACTACCCCAATCTTCATCAGATTTCAGTTCCCATCACAGTAAGGCAACAAATGTAGCTTCAAGCATCTCTGCTCAGTATCCATTAAAGCAGTGTCCCACAGCTCCAACTCATTACATCATGTAATGTCTCTGTTGTAATCATATTATAGCTCGAAGCCCACCATCATGTGTTAATCAGCTGCAGTTCCATAAGGTTTATCAAATCTGGTGCCGCAGGTAAAGTTATTTTAATTGTTTAATGCAATGTGGCGATCACTGGCAAATTGGTCCCCATATGTTGCTCAGTCCTAATGGCCTTTGAATTGAGTGGGTTGCTAGACCACTTCAGAGGACATTAAGAGTCAACCATATTCTGAGAGTCTGGAGTCACATGTAGACCAGTCTAAGTAAGGATGGCAGAATTCTTTCCCGAAGGAAATGAGTGGACCAGAAGGTTTTTATGATGATCGATGATAATTTCATGGCTACCATTACTTGCAATTCCAAATTTATTAATTGAATTTAAATGCCACGAGCTGTCATGGTGGTATTTGATTTCTTGTCCTCAGACAATCAGACTGAACCTCTGCATTAATAGTCTCGGTGACATCATTATTGCTCAACCATCTCCCCCTTTAATGGCATTAATATTGGATTAATCACTGTGATCAAAGCCCAAAAAGATTTAATGTGTACTCTGTAATCCTACCACTGATATCCTTGGTAGCTGGCAAGTGAATCTTTGGGTTAAGTGCTGTATTAGTTGTGTCATTCACTGGTTTCATTAGTTATTTAGCTCGCAGACTTCATTCACAGATTAAGCAGCTATGACATGTAGCATATAATAACTGGCCAGGGTTATGAATGGTGATGCCTTGAACAGCTGGTGAACCTTTGTGAAGTTGTCATTCTGCTAGTAACCTTGTCAAATGTTTGATGTACCCTTGGACCTCACAGAAGCAAGCAGCAGCAAATAACAAGGGCAAATGCATATATGGTCTAGCCTTGAGCAGGGATATGAGATAAGGAAAGCATTTGTGGTGCCAAGATGCAATTTGCAAATTATAAAGAGTATCATTAATCCATTGCAAATTTTATAATGAATTGTCATCTCTTGGCTGTTTCATATTGTTTTAGAATTTATTTTAATAGCCAAAATTTTGCAAAATAAATTCAGACTATTTATTGCAAGAGGTCTACGTGATCATGTATACTCTCTACTTCATCTCACCCCATCAACAAACTTCACTATCTGTTTCTGCCTCATGTACATACCTAGCTTTTCCTTAAATTGTGCAAAAGTATACTGGAAGGCACATAACTGTTCTTTAGTGATCAATAACCCATTCATTACTCACAGCAAGTACTGCAGCAGTTTGATTCAGTTCCATATTCCCATACATAATGGCATGAAATTGGGAATTTGATGAGTTTAGGAATTGATAAAGCAAAAAAAAAAGTTTAAAGGGCCCAATGTGGTTCACCTCAATTTATTTTTTTGTCTAAATGAGAATCATGCACCTAACTTGTTCTGCACTTTGTAAAGATGCAAGTATGCTGCAAATTTAAGGCTGCTGCAAAATATGTTTGCTTCAAGTTCAGTGAATTTGCTACATCACTCCAGTCGAGTTCAGAAGTTGAGTGGTGTGAGATTCCTTGGAGAAGGCTGGTACAGTGGCTTTGGTTAGCCCTGCATAGTATGTTGATAGTGTGTTACATTTTTGTCAGATTGTCAGACTTGTCAAAGTCCAGGTTGGAGGTGGAGGCTGAGGCGGTCATCATTGGGATCACAGGCAAAACCAGGAAAACCAAAGATAAGAGGGCATAGGGTAAAGATCAGTGGGGGCACAAACAATGGTTTGAGTTTAAAGGCGTTACTTGCTCATATTTTATTTAAATAATTGATATTCAGGTAATTATTTGTAAATAACATAAATAGTTGGGAAAATGTAGAATCAGAGGCACCGCGCACAATACCGGAATGTTTTTCTTTATCCTTCCATGGAATATGGGTATCAAGGGAAATCATGGTTATTGTACATCCAACCCATCTCTAATTGCCCTTGAACTTTGCCCTTGGCCTTTCAGAGAGTAGATAAGATACAACCACATTGCTGTGGTGTACAGTCTCATGGCATAACAGCACATTTCCTTCCCGAAAGGACATTAGTAACCAGCTGGGTCTTTACAATAATCAATGATAGTTGTCATGCTAACTTTACCAAGAGTCATAGAGTCGGACAACACAGAAACAGAGCCATTGGTCCAACTTATCCATGATGACCATTGATCCCAATCTAACCTAGTACCATCTACAAGCATTTGGCCCATATCCTTCTAAACCCTTCCTATTCATATACCCATCCAGATGCCTTTTTAAATGTTGTAATTGTACCTGCCTCCCTCATTTCCTCTGGCAGCACATACCACCCTCTGCATGAAAATGTTACCCCTCAGATCCTTTTTAAATCTTTCACCTCTCACCTTAAACCTATGTCCTCTAGTTTTGGGCTTCTCCACCTTAGGAAAACGACCTTGGCTATTCACCTTATCCATGCCCCTCATGATTTTATAAACCTCGATAAGGTTACTTCACAGCCTCCAACGTTCCAAGGAAAAAAGCCCCAGCCTATTCAGTCTCCCCCTGTAGCTGAAACCCTCCAGTCCTGGCAACATCCTTGTAAATTCTTTTCTGCACCCTCTTAAGTTTTAACAACATCCTTCCTGTGGAAAAGCAACCAGAATTAATTGAATTAAAGTTCCATATAAGCTGTCAAGATGGGATTTACACACAGTTCCCCAGAGAATTAACCTGAGTCCCTGAATCGCTCATCTACTGATCGCTGTATGCTACTTTTGCTCCCAAATAGATCAATGATTGCAGGGCCAGAGATGGGGACTAAAGATTGGTCCAAAGTCACATCCAGCAGAAGCTGCAGGCATCAGTCCAACTGGTCACCATAGCAAGGGCTATGTCAGTTCGTCCAAGGACTGATAGATAAAGTGAGTCCAGTCCTAGAGGTGGGTATTTCAGAGCAGGACCTGAATCAAATGGCAGCTGCCAGGACTTGGCCAGAGCTGAGGGTGGAACAGGGTCAGAGGGCAAAGATTAGTTGGTGGCACATAAAAATTGATTTAACTATATAACTGTAAATGAAGATTTAATTAACTAAAACTTTATTTTGGAGCCTCCCTGAAACTATTCAAAAAGATTAAGACATTAATGAACAAGATAGCTGGGCTAGAGACCATACAGTGCCACCTTGTGGTACAGATGGACTTCCTGGAGAGTTGGCTTTTTCTTCAGATTAAAATGAGAAATGTCCACCACAGTATGACAGAATTGTGACAGCTAATGGAAGACATTTCAATGTTATCCGCGATATTTACCATATCAAATTTCAAAGGAACACCTGACACATATTAAGATTTTGATATCCTTCCAAACCAATGTGTTTCGTTGTTGAAGCACTCGTGACAGATTCAGAAAGTTAACATCCTGAATCAAAGACTCCTTTTACTGAAGAGAACCAAGGCTGAGAGGGCAATGGGTAAAAAGCAGCAGGGTCACAAACGTTGATTTTTGTGCTCACATTTTAACAATTTATTTTCTTTTGTGTAACTTGATGTGGTTTTGCTATGGGTTGAACTGAGGACTATGTACCACATTGTTTCAGTTTTTGCTCCCAAGCAGAATCACAAATCAGCATGAATGCCTAATGCAAATAGAATATCTATTTGGGTCTTTGTGTTTAACACAGCTTGAGGCTATCAGACTCAGAGATATGCTGGGGAAGAGCCCTGCTGTTCAGACATGGCCACATTTTCTCTCTTCCTTTATAAACAATTTCATC